TTATGGATCTATCTAATTCTTGTTTAATAACTAAGCTACTCCCTCCGTCCCCTTAAGTTTGTCCCGTTTTACCTTTTGGTCCGTCCCACTAAGTTTGTCCTATACCATATTTGGTAACATTTGAGTGGTTAGAATTCATTCTTACTTTATTTACACTTTATCAATTCAATACCAACCACACAATTCCACTTTTTCTTAAAAACCACACCACACCCCTCCGTCCCAAACTTAGGGGGACAGAGGGAGTATCTTGTAAAATTGCTTATCAAAATCATAAAGTAAAATGATTTTTTTAGGGATAAAGTAAAATGAATTTAAGAAAGTTATAAAGTGATACGTAGTATTAGCTTAAACGCCCCAGGCACGGTGTGAAAGTTTTTTTCCTTAAAACAATTACAATGCATTAATTCTTTTCTTTTGAATGTCATCTTTATGATTGTAGTTAGGACTCTTAAAATTTGGTAATCATAGGTCGTCCTAGATGCCGTCAAATGACCATGATTGATTGAATGCATGGTTTAAGAAAATATTATAGAGCTAATCAATGCTAATTTAGAGTTTGATAAAAATGACTAAATTAGAACACATATTATGTGTTCTAGATTTGAAATGGGATGTATGATTACATTGACACTTAAAAAGTAAAAGTTTTTTTGGCTACTAGAAGTGTTGTTTAATTTTTGAAAAATTGTCAGAGTCTAAAATGATGTTAATTTTTGACGAGTACTTCCCCCATTGGGTACCCGTGGGTCTAGCGGGTCGGGGCGGGGGATGGGGCGGGTCGAATAGTAGTGGGGGATGGGGCGGGGGTGGGGGCGATTTTTTAGACACGGGGCGGGGGATGGGGGAGTGAACCCCCGCCCCAACCCCGCCCCATTGCCATCCCTAATTGTACTAATGAATATTCGAATCGTTACAACTGGTCTAATGGACTGCTATTTATACTAATCATAAATCTAGGTGCATTAAATATACATCATGTGGAGTGTCCGATGTGGCGCAAATGTGAGCACATTGTCACGAGTTTTCCGTGACAACGTGGTGTAGTATTAAATGCGGTGGTGGGCGTTGAGAAGCGAGAGTCTGAAAGTTCTTTGTGTCGAGATCGAGGGTTGTTTTCCCGGGCTTGCCCGAAGATGGGAATGATTTGGTCCGTATGTGTCGAGTGTCCCTTTTTGAGGTAATAAACTAATAATACTGTTTGAAGTCCTCGGGTTTGGGCCCAAGGGGTGTCTAATCGGTGCTTTTGGCCGCTCGTAATTGTTGGGCCTATTGGAGTGACAAGAGTATGTGGGCCGGGGGTTGTGCCATATACTCCTTCACAACACATTAAGGTTCTCCCTGTTTTTAATAGGCCTTGTCTTGTGAATTTCTCTGATAGTGCAATTTTTAGTTCATCTCAAAAATGAATTAATTTGACTATTGGGTGCGTTATTGTTTGTTTATACTTTATAGTAATTTACTAGTATTATCAATTTATTACTTTTTATTTAAGGTGCAATACTAATATAAAAAATTCTTTGGGGTTGAACTATCCTCCTATTGAATGTATATCTTGGAACTATTAAACCTTTTTACTAGACAGTAGTTGGTACATATTTTAAACTTTTATGTTTTTGTTATGTAAACTTAACGTTTGTATTTGGATATTTTTGTGATATTTGAACATTGGATGTAACATGTATGTATAATGTAATGGTAATAACTTTGACAATTTATTGTCATGATTTGAAATTTGACCATTTTTATGTAATTGAACTCATTGAAGGTTAAATGTGTTCAATTTAGAAGGCCTGATAATAAATTTTTATGAGCAGCCAACAAATGTAATAATAATCGAAGTGAACTTAACTAAAACAAAACTGAACTTAACACCTACATTTTTTACTATAACCAAATAAAACAAGTACAATTTTTAAAACACTTATATCAAATTTAAACCAGGAATGAACTGATTCCAAGCCTAGTTTCACATCCTTCCTCCATTCCTTTTTTAATTGCAATGCTTCAAATGTAACGTTTGTCAACAAACAAGATTGATCATTAATATATCCCATTCTTTAATAGTACAAAAATAAAATTAATATTTTGAAAATATAAATTGAGTAGAATTTAACAATACCTTTCAAAAATTTAATTCATAATATATTAACTAAAAAATGTTATCAAAGTAGAGCATATAAATATTGTAATATTCGTCAGTATTATATAAAAAAAGAACGGACGGATATAAATACATACATACAAAAAAGTTATTTCATAAATAAATACCATAACGCCTGTATGAGCATATATAAAACATCATGCAATCAGATAAGTTTGAAAAGTGATAAAGTGGGTGTAGCTATGGATCACACAAAGATATTTAATATAATAACTTATATGATGATGATAATATTGAAATGATATATATTATGTTTTTTATCACTAATATGAATGGATTGAATTGATATCACAACATTCAGATAAGAGGTAAAACGACAAAAGGACCACAAGCAACAGTCAGCCCTCGAACCAAACCTGGAGTCAATCACCTCCAAAAAGCAATACAATTGCTGATCCTATAAAGAGCATAAATTAGCCAACGACAGTTAAAGCATACCTCCCATCACTCAATTCTAATGCAAGAGTCTTACAACAATAAAAGTAACCAACAGAAAAATAGCAAGCAATCAGTAATATTAAAATACTGCTTCCAAACCCTAAACTCTTCTGCATTCCATGACGTCAGTTCAGGAGGGGGATGGTCCAACATTATTGTGGATTCTTCCGCTCTTTGACTCCGGTCCACATTTGTTTCTGCCCCTAGCCCTACGCTAGCTTCATCCATGACCTTCTGATCTCAACCATAAACGACACCCTCGAAACTCTCCACCTACTTCTAAGGGTACACAATCTTTGGCCATCATATAGGCGTTGCGGTCAGTCGAAGGAGAAAGTCTCACGAAAGGCGGACAAAAACCGCACAAGAAAGCCGCACTTCGCCGAAGATGAAAGCGGAGGAAAGAACCCATAAACTTAGGGGAGACGGCCGCCTAGAGGGAGAAGCTCTCATGGGAGAGAATTCCATATCTTGCCTTATCTTTATATACGTGGTATTAGATAGATATATTATGTTTATATATTTACTTATATTTTTACCTGTCCTCACAAATCATATTCAAATCAAAGAGTTGTTGGTATTGGTGGTATTAATCATTATCACACAAGATATGACTGCACTTTTCATGTGCCCTGCCCGGGTAGCCAAACATCTGTCCATACTTGAACATCTTTATCGTTGCCCACTCTTCGTCTAACATTCTTCCCCAGCACTGCTTGAGATTCCAAGATACTCCTCCAAATGAAGGAGGGGTTTGTTATCTCCTCCAAAGTATTAGTGGGATTTTCCTTTGCTATCGTTTGTAACGAGGAGTGGCCGCCGCAGGCGGGCTTAGGCGTACAAGGTTTCATCTTCTGCCATCAATTGTGCGGCTTTTCTTCTTCTTTTGCTTGACGAGATTAAGCGGAGGGAAGACACCGTTTGGTCTCTGGCGGCTAAAGGTTGTGCATGGACATAAGATGGATGTCTGGTCTCTGGCAGCCAAAGGTCAGAACGAAGCGTGAAGCTAGAGGTTGGAACAGATCCGGATTCGAGGTCATCCGTGTTAGGTGGCGACATGGGAGGCTTAGTAGAGAACATGATGTATAAGTAGGGCAGAGCACGGGTCGGGTTCGGGCGGTTCGGGTTCGAAAATGGTAAACCCGTTCGGGTATCGGATTGATAATTTCAAACCCTACACTATCAAAAAATATATCGGGTTTTTCGGGTCGGGTTATGTTCGGGTTTCGGTCGGGTTGATTCTGTTTTCGGGTCCATTCGGATTTTAATTTATTATTGTTAAAATTGTGATAAATAAAATGGTAATTGGTAAAAATATCATTCAAAGTTATACTAGTATAACATTCAAAGTAATAGTTGTATAAATATGATAATCGACATATTTGAACATGTAAAATAATAATATATGGTGATATACATATTTGATATTGTGATAAATAAATAGACAATTGGTCAAAATATTATTCAAAGTCATAACAATACAACATTCAAAGTTATAGTTTTACAAATACGGTAATTGAAATACTTGAATATGCATAATATGGTAATTGACATACAATAATTGAGATATTTGAACATGCATAATAATTCAAAGTCGTATATATACTACGCTAGTTCGGGTTTTCGGGTGGCTCGGGTAGCATAATTGGTAACCCTACCCGCTTAATTCTCGGGTTGCAAAAATCGGGTCGGATTTGGGTGATTCGGGTCGGGTTATCCGACCCAAAAAAAATAATCGGATATATCCGGTCGGGTCAATCGGGTAGGGTCGGGTTTGCTCTCCCCTATGTATAAGAGGCGATGTGAGAAAGAAGCTACAGTACTGCTAGATCCCCCTCCTCCTGAACCGCCGCCATGGAGTGCAGGGGAGTCTAGGGTTTGGAAGCATCTTTTTAATTTTACTGTTTTCTTGCGATTTATTTTTCATGATCAAACTATTTATTTTTTTGATGATTACTTTTATTATTGTAAGACTCTTACATTAGAATTGGGTGATAGGAGATCTGTTTTAACCGTCTTTGGCTCATGCAAACTCATTATATGATGAACGAGTTATATTGCTTCTCTGAATGTGATAGACTCTATATCTGGTTCAAGAGCTGGCGGTTGCATGTGGTTCTCATATCGTTTTAACCTCCTCTAAACTAATGTTGTGATATCAATGTAAGTCCTCATCTTCCAAAAAACAACAATGATAAAGAGAACAATGTTAGACAAAATTTAAATCATAATAAACAAACAAAAAAAATAAATAAATAAACACAATAACACACCAAATTAAACCACAAAACATCCATTTTATTTTTATTTTTATTTTTAAAGTAACTTGTAGATCAATTTTTTCCCACACCTCCATTCTCGTGACAATGGGTGACAATGCATTCATGCGTGGAACATCCGTTGATGCTCCACACTTTTCTACTTTTTTCCGTATTCCGCAATTGTCCGTATGTAATACAGTACAGTACAAAATCATCCATCTTTCATATTTCGACGGATGAGTCAGCTCCCTCCCATCTCAGACAGTACCCACAGTTCTCTGATCGGAAATGGAGAAAGGAAGCAGGGCCATTTTCGCCGCCTTTGCACTGCTTCTGTGTACGATTTCATGGAGTGTCGCCGCCGCGGCAAGGCCAAAACAGCAGCAGCCACTTCACCCATTCCGCCGCCAAATGATTGAGCAAAGGGGAAAGGGGAACGCCATTGTTAACCCCGATATCTATGATACTTCCAACTACGGCATTCTTCAGCTCGACAATGGCTTAGCTCAAACTCCTCAGATGGGGTAGACTGTTTTTCTCTTCTCTTTTTGATCATCTGATTTGCTTAATCTTGATGGGTACTTTTTTCTAAGTCACTTCATCAATTTGTGTTTACAGCTATCATAGATAGTAAAGTTTTTAACTTTATCTTTATGCAGCTCAAAGTTAACTGATTTCAGGGTTTCTTTTCTCGTGAATTTCCAGTATGCTTGTTGCTTTGTTGGAAATTTTATTAATAATAATCTTTGTAAAATAATTCCCCGCTCGTGCTTTTGAGCAGATGGAACAGCTGGAATTTATTTGCCTGTAAAATTAACGAGACCATCGTCAGAGAAACTGGTAATCAATGCTCTGGCTTTATTTCGATGATGATGAATTTCACTGCAACCCAGATAGATATCTATGAAGTTCACGTTTTACTACTCATTGTGATTGTGCTTTTTGACAAGTAAAATGGTGCCAAAAATATAAAATCTAAGACCAACCAATATTTTGTTTTTGTTTATGAAGAACCATTTATCAGCTAATCGTATACATTGTATTAGCAAGTTATTTTCTCTTCTACCAGTATATGTGCTCTTTATTCTCTATAATGTGATGCAGTTGAATTAACTGTAGTCAACTCTGTATAATCTATTCATGACCCGTCACTATTTGACAGCTGATGCACTCATCTCAACTGGTTTGGCGAAGTTGGGTTATACGTATGTAAACATCGGTGAGCTTCTGAATACTTATCAAGCAACACTTGACGTTTGGTTGATGGTAATACCCTTATTTACTAACCTTCTTAACAGATGATTGCTGGTCCACTACATTAAGGAATTCAAAGGTCAGTTGCTCAGATACCAATTTCCCTATGGATATAGATTTTAAGTCTGGCTGATTATTTCCGTGAATGATGCTCATCAAGTATTACCTCCGTCCCACTCAACTTTGCCAAGTTGATGTTAGGTGGGAAATTAGAATAGTAAAAACTGTGTGGTTGAAATTTGTGCAGAGGAAAGAGAAATGAACGAAACCACGAAATCATTGCTTTAAAGGGAAAGTGGCAAAGTTTTTTGGGACAAACAAAAGGGGGAATTTGGCAAAGTCAGTGGGACGGAGGGAGGGAGTAGTATTTTCTTGAAGGGCGTCACTTGCTCTAATGATGAAGTGAAATGTCTTGTGGCATGAATGATTTACTTTGTATAATTGAGTTTAGACAAGTTTTGATACAATAGTAATTGTGAGTATAGTTACTAGTACGACAACTTCTTAGGCGGTTTTTTATCCTGAAAAATTATATGGAAAGAAAACAAAATGTTAATTTTTTTTACAATTGATTTTACCTCGGAAATAAGAAATGAAATAAAATTTGATAAAACTCGTTAAAAATCATATGTTTAGATTTCTGTCATTGTATAATACAAATATGTAAATAAAATGAGTTTGAACCAATATTTAAAATTGATTAATTGATTTTGAACTTTTTTTTTTATGCTAAACTTGTTTCCATCAAAATTCTCCCTACTATTTTTCCTAACTGTTTTCTTTCCCTACCATTTCCGGATTCCAAACAGATCCATAATGTCAAGAAATTTCATTTTGATTCCTGATTATGCAGGGTGAATTAGTAGCTGATCCAAATTCTTTTCCATCCGGGATAAAAGCTCTTGCGGATTATGTGCATGAAAAAGGACTCAGACTGGGTATCTACTCTGATGCCGGGTAAATAACTTTCTCAAGAACTGTACATAATATTCTCTCATGTACTACTTAATTATAGTACATTCTATCTATTGCTCATGCCAAAGTGCTGCAGTTATGTTGTATGATCTTATGCACTCAATTTTACCATATCAATGGCTGTAGGGTTTTTACGTGTCAAGTTCGAGCTGGATCACTATATCATGAAAATGATGATGCAGCACTTTGGGCATCTTGGGTTAGATTATGTTTCCTTTTTAACACGTTTTGTTTCCTTTTTCTGCTATCTGGAGCTTATGAACTCAGATTCATTAATTTCTTATTTTGTGTAAGTGACATTAAATTGATCGAAAAGAAAAACAAGAAAAGAAACTTGAAGGAAATAAGAGCTTGTTGGCTGAGACTTTATTGAAAGGGAATGTGTTTGAAAAGTATTTAATGCATGTTCTGATCATTAAGAAAATTAAAAAACACAAATGAACTGATATATCGCCTCTTAAACGGGAATTAGGAAATGTGGCTAAGCCTTTATTGATACTTATAATCATCTGAATTATTCTACATCATAAGATGCTGTTATTTTAGGTAACTGGAGGCTCGTTTCCTTATCCCTTTTATAATGTTGTTTTATTCATGGAATTTGTTAAGTTATCTGGTTTGCTCTTGAATCTCATTTCTTCATCTTATCCGTGAAGGCTATGTTTGGAACTCGGAAGAGGGCAGGGAAAGGAAAATAAGGAAAACGAATTCTTCAAACTTTGGTTTTACTTTGGAAAATTGAACTTAAACTGATCATTTTAAACTTTATAAATTTTTGATTTCTTAGCCTTTTATATGAAAATATATGTAAATGAAATGACTTCAAACGAGTATTTATAATCAATTTGTTTTTTTTGCTGCACTTTATCATTTCTTATAGTATCTGTTTTGTTAAATGCCAACATCCTAGATTGGGCTGAGTTTCGAACCTGTGACCTCCTCCTTGGGAGTTTCACAGTGATGCCATCGAACCACAAGGTGCTTGGCATCAATTTGTTTTGTTGGATCCTAATTTTTTATTTTCCCCAAATCTGATTTCCTGTCAAATTCTCATGTGATGTATTTTCTTTCTTAATTACTTTCCATGGTGTTTTGTTGTTTGCTACTGCTATCAGTATTGGAAAATTGCACTTGATCAGAATTCAGAACATTTTATAATTTACAAATATTTAGATTTCTTAGTCTTTTATATGACAAACTATATATTTGAAACGACTTCTAACAAATATTTTAAATCGATTTGTTCAGTTTGATCATTTTTTTTTCAATATTCCCAAATCTTGTATCATTCCAAATTCTCATGTGATGTATTTCCTTCTTATTTACTTTTCCTTGTGTTTCATCATTTGCTTATTAGTATTTTATTTTTCTCACGACGCAGGGTGTTGATTACTTGAAATATGACAACTGCTTCAATCTGGGTATTGAACCACAGAAAAGGTAAACCCCTGTCGAGTAAGTTTTTACTTATTACCTTTCGTGAAGTTCACTGACAAGAACGATTGGATTATTCACAGATATCCAGTAATGCGTGATGCCCTAAATGCCAGTGGGCACAGTGTGTTCTATGCACTTTGTGAGTGGTAACTTCCAGTTTATCTCAATGGATGCTTGCATTATCTAACCAGGACATTTAGAGATTGTCCTTACTCCTTTTTTTTAAAACATAAAACTTGACAGGGGCGTGGATGATCCTGCATTATGGGGTCGTGCTGTTGGAAATAGTTGGCGTACTACAGATGACATCAATGATACTTGGGCAAGGTTGTAAATCTTTGATCTTTGTCACCTGTTTTAATTGACAAAGTTCTTTTGCTTGATAAACTATTGCTCTAATGGACAAAATGGCAGAAGGCCTATTCTTCTGGGTCTTAGTCTCTTATTTGGTTGAAGAATTTTGTAGGGAGTGGAGGAAAGTGAATGCTGTGTATATGTTTGGTGGGAGGAGCTATAGTCCTCCAAACTCTTAATATCTCATTTCCCCAATTTGGGATGAATATTGGCGGAGTTATTTTTCTTAATTTCTTTTTTTTTTTTAAGTAGCACAATTGTTCTACATTATAAGTGCTACACATTTGGTTTAGATATTAGAAATTTAAAACACAAATAATATTTAAGACCATTTTTGCTTCCATTAGAACAAAAATAATATCAAAAAGCATTTTTTTTACATATTTCTGTAACTGTCTGTATTTCACGGGATGAATGTATTGACGAGTTTCATCATAATTCATGCTTAGCATGACAACAATTGCTGATATCAACAATAAGTGGGCTGCATACGCCGGACCTGGTGGATGGAATGGTAGAGAGATGTGCTTAACTCTTTAGATATTTTTAAAATGAATCTATTGGTCATTTTAGGATGTGATGAATGGTTGAATTTCTTTTAGACCCTGATATGCTTGAGGTTGGCAATGGGGGTATGAACTACGACGAGTACCGAGCACATTTTAGCATTTGGGCATTAATGAAGGTATTCCTTCACTCAATCTGGCTTACTAATTACTTGATTTTTGCTGTTTAAATTATATGAATGATATCAGTTTGATTTCTTGGAGAAGTATTTAGTATTTTATCGAGCAACTATTTTATAATGCAATCAATTGTAGTGACAGATGTCACTATTGAATTCATTGCTCTGTGCATTCCTTCAAATATTGCTCATGCTTTTGAGTATTGACTCCTGTACGAATTGGTTATGCAGGCCCCACTTATTATTGGTTGTGATATTAGGAATATGACTGCTGAAACGTTTGAAATCCTCAGCAATTCAGAAGTTATTAGTGTAAACCAAGGTCTAAGATTTATTTTCTATCTCTCTATCTGGTGAATGGGAAGTTGATAAAATTTAAGTAGAATTGGTTGTAAACCCTTTCTGAAGTGACCAATGCTCATAAAACAGTTTCTTCTTTTTCTACTGTGATTGACGATTTTTGTGCATATCTTTTGTACATTCATAGATCCACTTGGAGTTCAAGGAAAGAAAGTTTCAGTTTCTGGAGCAGATGGGTGCCAGGAGGTCAGCTTTTGCATCTTGATGTAGTGGGATGCTTTTTTAATACAAAGCTAGGGTGTTATAGTTTTTCCACCTAATTAATGTCCTTTCTCTAAATTGGGATATAGAGTTAGCATGGCTGTAGCTTTAGCTCTTCTTTGGTTCATAAGCGGCATGAGGAGAGGAAAAAAGACAGAGGATTAGGAAGGAAACTGGAGAGTTGGTTAGAAGAAACAATGTATTATGTTGAGTTTAATTAAGTGGGGGCGGATTAATTAGTTTATTGGAAATATTCCATCAAAAAAAGAAATTAGTTTATTGGAAATATAAAATGTGTAAGCATATTGTATTTGATATAACTGCTTTAGTTAAAAGTATATTAATTTACTTGTGTGAAACTAATAGTGTAGAACATTTTTAATGAAAAAAGAGAATTAAACTCAGGGAAAATCAACACTGGTAAACAACAGCTTTGGAATGAAACAAGAGAAATAAATTAAGGAAAAAAATAACTCTGCCAAAATGGAAGACTTTTGAGAAGGTTGCGTTTTTATCTCCTCATTCTAGTGCCCAGCCAGCCTGGGACTCCTAGGCCTCCGAATTTTTTTATGTTAAAAAGGTTTTAGTTCTCCTTATTTAAGTGTTAAGTATTTTTTAGGTTATAAAAAGATCATTTGGTTCCTATATGTTCTGTTGTAAAATAATAAGGAATAACTGAATAACAAACCTTGCACAGAGGTTTTGTGTTCTTTAGTCGCTGAAATAGCTCGTATTCATTCTAAAAGTAGTGAAGCCCTCCAATTGAACAAAGACTGGTTCTGCACTTTTTTTGTGAGCACCAGATAAAACATGCATATTTCCGAACATGGATTTTTGTCTTGTTTGTGTTCAGAATATGTGAGAATTGCTTCGTGATATGTGGTTTTGGGGGTTAATATGTATTTTGGAAACAAACGACGTCATGATATAATTAGTCCTGATAATTACTGTGTCCACCAGGTTTGGGCAGGGCCATTGTCTGGAAATCGTTTCGTGGTAGCACTTTGGAACCGATGCTCAGAAGAGGCAACGATTACTGCTCAGTGGGATGCAATTGGACTTCAATCTACTGCCACCGTCTCCGTTAGAGATTTATGGAAGGTATGAGCAAATCTTGTCATTATTTTCCTTCCTCATGAAGTCGTAAGTAATCTGTTATTTTTAGCCTGATTATAAAACTCAGTTCTAGTATAGAAACAAGCATTTTATGCATGGTAGTATTTCTAACTGCAGCACGAAGTGGTTTCAGAGAACACGGAGAGATCATTCAGTGCTCAGGTTAAGCCCCATGGCTCTGAACTATACATTTTCACTCCCCAGGCAGCGGAGAAGAGCTCTTCTCTTCATTGTGATTCTTGTGTTATGTAAGTATTGTATTTTCTGTGCTGGGTAGCCTAGTTTAAATAATGTATGTCCAGAGTGCTGCCCTTAAAGCCATGTAATAAAAACCTGAAGACTTCTTTAGGTTGAACTGCCAATTTGCCTCATTTCATGTGTGTGTTTATTTAATAATAAGTTTCAGTATACATAAATAGCTCCTTTTAGTAGCTAAGTGCGTTTGTTCTGCTTACCAAAGGAACAAACTAAATAACCAGAATAAATAGCCTTTAACTTACCGAGATTTCTTTTTCGTTGAAAAGGTTGAATCTACTGAACTATTTGAAATACTGTAAAAACCTCATATCATCAAAACTAAAAATATATCAAGGCAATACGATTGCCCCTAAATATTTATGACTTTATTTAGCCAAATCAGGTAAGGAAAAAATATATTTACAAAATACGAATTAAAAAGAACTTTTATATGTATCTTAGGTTCCAAGGGCAATGAATATACAAATGCTGTATACGATGAATATATTATGCAACCACACTTTTCTGAAAGCGACACAAATAGTCAAATATGGGGGGAGGGGGGGGTGACAAGATTCATAACAAACATTTGTTTGAGAAGAGAAAACTAAAGATTACACAAAAAGAGAAAGAACTTTTGATTACTGTGAGCATAGCATGAGTTTGTATGACCCTATAGTCTAAAACCCGAGAGGTGCGTGAATTTAATTAAGATTGCAACTTTATGAAGAGTTTAAATAATAGAACCAATCCCATCTAACTGAAGAAATGAAACAGCTAAAATTAATAAAAGCGTGAAAGAATATAAAATTAGCAAAGCTATGCCAATTATTGGATATTGACAACAGAAAAGTTCGTCCTCAAATTAGCCACAATGATGTCACAAATTTACCTTTCAAATGGATTTGGCAGAATAAAGGGCGAATGGAATTGGAGTTGAACTCAACTTCAACATCATTTTAAGCTGAGTCTTCCGGTTACACCGTACGGTGTACACGAATGACAAATACTAGGGGTGGATTTGGGTTGGGCCAGCCAGCCCGTGGACCGGCCTGGCCCACTACTGTGCGGGCCCGGCCCGGCCCACTACTGTGCGGGACTGGCCCGGTTCTCGGGTCTGGTCGGGCCTAGGTCTGGGTCGGGCCTTGGCCCGGGGGAGCGGGTCCGGGCTCGGGTCTTACATTTGGCGAACCGGCCCGGCCAGGTCAGGCCCGGGTCCGGGCCAAATTGTTTTTTTTTTTTTTTTTTTTTTTTTTTTTTTTTTTTTTTTTGCTTTTTTGGGGTTCCACCCGGGTTGGGCTTGATGGTTAGGAGGGGTTTGGGGGTGGGGGGGTGAGGGGGGGTAGGAAAGCAAAAAAAAAAATCAAACCAAACCAGAGGCCCGGCCCCGGACCGGACCCGGTGGCTACCCGGGCCGGCCCCGGCTCCATTAATTCTGAACCGCCGGCCCGGCCCCGGACCGGACCCGGTGGCTACCCGGGCCGGTCCCGGCTCCATTAATTCTGAACCGCCGGCCCGCCCGGGCCTAGGCCCGACCCGGACCTGGCTCCACCAATTCTGAACCGCCGGCCCGACCCGGATCCGGCCCCGGCCCGAATTCACCCCTGACAAATACTATGAAGAATGAGAACCCCTAAATTTAATAAGACAAGGACTTGAAAAGTTGTAAGATTAGCCATCCTTTTTTCAGCAGCACCTTCCTATTACTTTCCCAAGCACAAAACCCTTGCAACAGTTCTCTAGATCTCCAAATTGACTGATAGTGCTCTTAATGGAGTGTCATCAAAAGTTTTATAGATCTTTAAAACTACACTCTCGTAGAAGGATTGCTTGTTCCTGACTTCCTGGGAATCCTAACATCATTTCATGATAGACTAGAAAAAAGGTAGGTCACTCGGTTAGCCATCAATATATTCTCTCTTATACTTGTGACAACAAAAAAACTAATTGTACACTTTTTGTACACCTCATCTAGTTAGTAGGGGTGGCAGCGGGATTGGGATCCTCTACCCGACTAGGAGGGTGCCTTGCGCATCGGACGGGAGGGGAGCGGCCAACACGGCCTCGACATTGGCGAAAAAAGTGGAGCCCAAGATCTCCGACCGTTGAATTGTGGATCAGACGACCGGGAGGAAGCAAGGCACTCTACCTTACTCTAAAGTAAGGTAGAGGCTCCGGATCTGTGGCAGCGGGTCGGGTTAATATCGGGTGAAGTCTCATCCCCATCCACCCGTTAATTTTTCATACTCCACCCATCCGTCCATCCTCCATTAAAAATTGCATCTACATCCAACCCATCCATCATGAACGGATTATCGGGTGGATCGGATGAGTAACGGGTGAATATAAATAGTCTAACTTGAACGACAAAATAAATAAGTTATAAAGAAAAATCATGACGATTAAAAACCAATAATTAAGAATTCACAAATAATCTCAACAAAATTCGAGTAATTGAGTATATTACAATCATTAATTCACTACCGATAAAGAAAGAATTGATTGTCACACAAAATAGACATAAAACTTAGCTGTCAAATTCTACATTTCTGCATCGGCACAAAATCATTCTTGCAGCTCAATTGCCACTTCTTGAAACTCTCCAATTGTATTTAATTACTTCATCATTTCATATATATGTGTCTTCTCCATTAACAAATGCATATCTATAAATATATTAATATAAATTATTATGTATATTATTAAATAGATATGGAGTATTAATACACTCACATTTATATGCGGTTTAGCGGGTGACGGGTCGGGTGACGGGTTGGATGAGTGTTCATCACACCCGATCCAACCCGTCTTTCACTCCACCCGTCATCCATTTTCCATCCATACTTTTTCGGGTTTTCGTCCATATTTGTGGTTTGGATTGATCAGGTATGGTATCCGCAGGTGCGGGTGATATTGCCAGCCCTACTAGTTAGACACATGCAGCCCGTTTAAAAAAATCAACAACTGTCTACACAGTGTGTACAAAAGTGTTAACATGTACTCCCTCCGTCCCCTTAAGTTTGTCCCGTTTTACCTTTTTCGTCCGTCCCACTAAGTTTATCCCATACCATATTTGGTAACATTTGAGTGTTTAGAATTCATTCTTACTTTATTTACACTTTATCAATTCAATACCAACCACACAATTCCACTTTTTCTTAAAAACCACACCACACCCCTCCGTCCCAAACTTAGGGGGACGGAGGGAGTACTACGTAGTACGTACGATGGTTGTCTGACATTGTCTGTGTACAACAAGAATTATTCTTTCACCACTAGTCGTGCTAGATCATATCATGTGAATCTACATACTTGCCAATTATTCACGTACAATTCTTGTCTTTGAAGCTAGATTCAAAACAATTAGACTTTGCCCAAAGAGCTCGGTCTGTGTGCAATTTACAAATCATTGTATATGAATTGTGAATACATAAACCAACATCTCTTCATAACTTTTTCACTGAAAATAGTTGTCAATGTATAAAATTTACATGTTCTCTTCCCACCACAGACATGCATGTGACTGAGCTGGTGTACAAAATGTGTACACCATTTGCCAAAATGTGTATAAACATCATTTTCACAAAAGAAGCTCAAAAACAGAATTTCACATTCCAACTTATATTTACATATCCGGTGTCGCACTAGTCTAAGTATAGGGAAAAAAAATCAGAAATTCACCTAAATAGGAGTAAAAACGTTTTGAAATTCCAAAATAGGAGTATCATGTTTTTTATTCCCTAAATAGGAGTAAATTTCTGCCAAGTTTGGCATTACAAGGCTTTTAAACATGGCATTTTCTTCCAAACTTGGCAGATTACTCTTATTCAAGGAATAAAAAACATGATACTCCTATTTTGGAATTTCAAAACGTTTTTACTCCTATTTAGGGAATTCTCTCGAAAAAAATAGGCCTGAAACTCGAGGTTTTTATCATGCAATCTCATAGAATGGGATATAATTAGCTTCAATCAAGTTAAACAATATAAGTTTTATTATGACACCAATTAAAACAATGCATGTCCACTCTACATACAAAAAACTCTCTCCAATCTTCAACTGATGACCCACAACACGATGTTACTCAATCCTCCTCTCTGCAACAGATTTGTCAGATAAAAGAATGTCTTCCACTGAATAATTAACAAACTCAATCCTATGTCTTCTGGTAAAAGCTGCTGAAGGCGGAGAGTTTCACTATATACAACACACTTGGTAATGCAAGGATTTGGTTACTTCATCAAATCTAAGAACACAAAGCCATTCCACATACTGTGCAAGAGTATGGACGGTAGCAGGTTCCTGGACCTAGCGTATATAATACCCATAACAACCCCAAGAAACATTAGGGGTAACATTCTCTGTACATTAAAATGGGCCAAAGCGAAGGCGATTGAACTTATAAGAACTGAGCACCATACCGGCATGTACCTTGTCAATGAGGGAAGAAGGAAGCCTCTAAATACAACTTCTTCCCACATAGGAGCACACACAACCAGTACTAATGCATAGAGTGACATAGCCACAGGATCTCTCGCCATTATGGATTGCTCAACACTAGAGAGTGTCACAGGAGTAGTAGGTAGCACAGGAAGTAGGTTGAGGTTAAGTTGTGACAGGCGGTTTACAAGTGGAAACATGAAGCATCCCAAGATTAAATCAAGAAGCCAGTTTCCTTTCATGCTAAATTTAAACCAATCACGTGGAAGCGGGCGAAAACGAGATAAGCATCGCCGAAGAATCAAAATTCCAGCAAGGCCCTCAGTTATATCAGTCAGTAGGCTGAACAAAGCCTGTCCTCTAAATGTAAGTGATTCTTTATTGAATCCCATCATGTGTGCTCCAAATGGAATCATCCATGAACCAATAAACCAGAAAGATGCAATCCAAAGGAGCATGACCTGCAAGATCATTAAAACCATTGTTTAAAATGTGTTAGTCTATTAACATGTGCGGTTGTCAAAACAACTTTAAATTCCTCTATTAAGGGACAAGACTGGCATAAAAAAAGATTCCTGATACACTTGTACCTATCTCAAAATCATTGCCAAGGAAATACAGAAACAAGTTTTTGACCAGTTATTGTTTTTTCGAACTATATAACTGCTTTTACTAGATGGGTACGATTGGTCGATTACACCAGTTATACACAGAAGAATATGTAGTGAGAAGCAGAGAGTGTTAAAGGCATTGCAAACACAAACTTCAACCAAGAAGAGTAGCACATCAAACTTGGGAATTGTAAATATGAAATACAAAAAAGGGTAGCACAATATGGATATAGCAATTCAGTCCACAGACAATGTACATGTCTTCTGACACATGTAAAAGATAATAAAGACCACTAAGAAAACACACTTATTTAGTAAAAATATGACAGGAACTGTAAAATTGTCATGTAAAAATAATGAAGATATCCACTGCAAAAATATTGAAGTGAAATATTTCAACTGAGGATCGTTAGTGCTCCAAGAAAGCTTCTTTTATATTCATAAGCAGCATACATAACCTGAAAGTCCTGATATCATGATATATCTCAAGAATCTTACCTGAAAAATTGTCTCTGCCGACCATGGGACATTCCAGGGTTCTCCAATCACTCTACGCAATGCATCTGGAGCCTGAACAGTATAAGCACATAGCCATACGTAGAATTTTCTAAGCAATCACACGATAGATTATGAAGATATAACTATGACACTGCTTAAACTAAGTAACTACAGATGAACTAACCTTTAGAATAAATGAAATCCAGTCTCTTTTCTCAACGCTTAAATTATCACTTTCAGACACTATGTGTTGCTCTTCATGTAAAACCTGCTCATTCAATTCATAATGGGAGTCGCCGTGAGAATATTCTTCTTTCCTAAAGCATGATATTCTCCCGTTCTGCAGTATGCAATTATGTAAGATTAACACCAGAAGACGGCATGCAAATTCATACGTAGCATATATTCCAGAAAGGCGACTTGATGACTTCTAATCATTAGCGGCCCATTACTCTAAATGATAACAAATGGAAGTTAAATTCTCCTCTTTATGATTTATGGTATAAAGCCCTGACATATCATCGCAACTTGAAATGTATCAAGGTATATCATTATTCTACCTACCAATTATATACGGATAGAAATTGCCTTTATATAATTATGTTTTTTGAGCCAAACTAGGTAAGGTGAAAAATAATTACAAAAGAAGAATTAAACAGAACTTTTAAAAATATATACGGAGTATTTTATTTTCTAGGTAATGAATATAGATTGATATGTCATTATGATAACCACACCTTTCCAAAAGTGCCACAGATGGTCAAGTTGAAAAAAAAATGAGGCAATAATGCCGAACAAACATTAGCTCACTAATAAATCATGGTCCTTTGTTTGAAAAATGAAAGATTACACCACAAGAGAAACTACCTTTCATTACAATGAGCGATGTATGAGACTACATAACCTTATATAGTAGAAACTCAAGAGGGATGGAAATTTAATAGAGATTGCATCCTTGTGAAGAGTTAAAACGTGAAGATTGTAATAAAACTAGTCTCATCTAGCTGAAGAAATTAAACAACTATTTGAACTAATTTAAAACATAAAAGAATATGAAAATATAAAGCTTAAGGTAATTATTGAATATTGAAATAAAACAACTGTTCCTCAGATTAGCCACAGTGATGATAAAAATTTACCTTTCTAGAAAGCTGTAGATGGGTTTGGCAGAATATAGAACGTTGGGGGGCAAGAGAAATGAGCTTCGGATCAAATTTTGGAACCCTTAAATTAGGACCTGAAGAGGAGAGGAGAGGCCGCCGGGGAAGAGAGCGAATGGAATTGGAGGTCAGCATCATCTCAATCTGAGTCTTCTGGTTACGCGAATGCTGCGAAGAATGAAAACCCCTAAATTTGAGAAAACAAGGACTGATCGGAATTGAAGCCATCTGTTTCTCGCATTCCTTTTATCTGCAACAAATTCTTATTACTTTCACAAGCACAAAACCCCCAACTACGGGTGAGCACGATCCGGGTAAGGGCAGGTGATCTATAAGTATTTAAGAACCTACGGCTCCATGAAATGGGTAGGTCCAGGCCGGTTATAGAAATTCTCAAAATATGAACTGTACCTTACACTCCCTGTTTGAAAGGAGTCATTCCAGTCCGGGGTTTCAATTATTTCCATTGCATTATTTTTAAAATTTCAACTATTAAGCTAATTTTACATATGTGGGAGTGTGGGACAAAAGATGAATGGATAAAAAACGACATAACACATTGAATAATACGATCAATCCTAAATCATATGTAATTGTGCATACAGGACAAACAAGAATTAAAACAAATAATAAGTAAACTAAATAATGTGATCTCATTAAAACAAAGAATAAGTAAACTAAATAAACTAAATACATAGTAGATCATTTTGCACTTTTGCATATACTTGAACATTATAATATATTACACTTTATGAATTTCAATTGTATTTAACTTAACATTGATCCAAAGCTTTTCAATTGTATCTATCTTAACATAATTGGTAAGAAGAGGAAATCTGAAATGCACAAGATCATAAATCAATAAAACCAGAAATGTTAAAGCTCATTAAACACAAAAACTGGCATGCAAATTATTACCTGCCCCATTTGAAACGAGTCGGCTTGGTCCGGGTTTTCGGTTCTTTTTTCACAATTTCTAAAAGAATATCACAAGTCATAACCGCATAACCTATACCCGCCCGTGTTTTACTATTGTTGATCCATAAGTGTGTAACCTTTACTTTCTGTAAATTTCTCTTTAAAGTCTTTGATACTAAGTTGAAACAAAAAAAGAATAAATCATCCTAGACCAGCAATATGACTACCGCCTTTGGATTATGAATCTTTTTTTACAACTGAACTTAACCTGTTGTACAGAAGTTTATAGGTTGCATTGTTTTATTCACATTCTACCAATTCAATATCAAAAAACCAGTTCAATTGGGAAAACCTGGTCCGGATCCAGACCAGAAAATCCTTGGTGACTCGGGAAAACCTTGTTTGGCATGTTTTCCCCCCCAAAAAATAGGATTATTAGCTTATTTTATCTCAAACTATCATCAAATTCATAAATCTATCATATTCTTTCACTTTTATAAAAAAAAGACTCAAAAAACTTCATCTTTTTCAAAAATTATGTTTTCTTCTTTGTTTTTTTTTTTCAAAATTACAAATTTTATCAATACAAATAAGATATAAGCAATACAAGTTTGTAAACTTAAAACTAGAAAGAAGTGAAAAATATGAAATATAAATATGATTCTATTCTTAAGTTTTACTAATTCATCTATTAAAAGTGTAATTGTGAGAAAAATTGAAGTTCGGGTCTTTTTTTTTAAATAAAAGTATGGGATAACTTTGTGAATTTGACGATAGTTGAGGATATGTTTAGCTAATAATCTCCCAAAAAAATACTCCCTCCGTCCCGGGGAGAAGTTCCCAATTTCCTTATTTGGATGTCCCAAAAGAAACTTCCCATTTCCCTTAATGGAAAGTTATCCTACATTAAAACAGTGCCAAACAGTGCAAAACAGTGCCAAACAGTGCAAAACAGTGCCAAACAGTGTCGAAACAGTGCCAAACAGTGTCGAAACAGTGCAAAACAGTAAAATTTACCCCTCAGTAACTTTATTTCCTAAAAATGTGTGAAAGTCAACCCGGGAACTTCTCCCCGGGACGGAGGGAGTATAATATTTTTTATTTTGCGTATTTTAAATCTGATAAATTACAATCCCAGCAAATCAACTAATGACAATCCCAGCAAATCAACTAACGACAATATCAATAGGGGACAATCAAGGGACAACACATTTACAAATCAGCTAACTATTTATGTAATCACTAATCAACTAATCATTTATCAGCAATCAAGTAATCAACTAATCCTTTACTCCGTATCATTTATCAATTGCAATGAAAGTACGAATCAATACAGTAATCAATCGTAGAGTTAAGAGGGTTAAGAGGCGTACGGAGTACTTGGAAGGAAGGAAGGAAGGAGCTGCGCGCTAGATATAAATATGAATCGGAGGCAGCCGTGCGGGCGGCTTTGGCGACTTGCGAGTTGGCTTCGCCGGAGTCAAGTAGTCGATGTCTTAGATGAGCGAGTGCCCGGCGGTTTCTTTCCAGGGTTCCTAAAATCCCGAGTCAAAGACTCAAAAGTCCTCTAATCTGAATTACTCCTGTTTTAGATTAGATGTCCGGATTAGACTATCACGGAGTAGTTAGCAAAAATTATACGGAATAATACTCCACTTTCCTTATCTTGAGCGGGATAAATCCGCCTACTCATAACTTTTTTTATTGTAAAAAAAATTGTTTTTTGCGTTTGTCAATTTAATATACTCCGTAGTACATTTGTCCTGCGCTAAAGTCATGGTCAAAGTATTATACACAATAATATGATTATATATATAATATATTGATAGAAAATCATTAAATTTCATCTAAGTAGTACTAGTATATAGTAATTTGATTATACTCCGTCCTGAAAAAGTTCATCATATTAATTTTTCTTGATCAATGATAACAAATTTCAGACAATGATTTTAATTATTGTATTTGTATATAATTCGAAAATTTTATACTTTTATGAAAATGTTTTGAATAACAAAAATTTTGATATGATTTGTATATTCAAAATAACTTCATATAAAAAATATCATTGATCAAAATTGATTATCATTGACAAAAAAAACCATTTGACGAACCTTTTCAAGACAAATGAGGTATATTTTATATTAATTTGTTTATTAATGTTAATTTAATGATACTTTAACATTGATTTTCCGTTAAGATTAAGAAATTCACATTGAGGAGTACATTATAATTTGATTATATATAATAGAAAATCATGATCAAAATTAAGGTACTAAGGCGTGTATAGTGCAAAATTCAAAATTTACAAGTACTTTGTATCAAAGAACGGATGAGGTATTATATTACTCCGTACTAAGCAAAATATTGGGTCTACTTCTTTTTCATTTTTTGGGCATGTGCCCCCAATCGTCCTGTCCCCCTCAGGCCCTAAGGCAACACACTGGTTTACCATCTACGGAGTACAATTTAACTGATTGAAGAAAAGGAATTGCAATATATTTTATTAATTAAATAAAAAACAATCTTATGAAAAATAGTTAAAATGCTAATCTAAAGTAATTTCAATCAATTCAGCCAAAAAAATTAATCTACCTTACTTATTTTTATTATGACACAATTGAACGCGCTAAATCAAAAAATATGTGTTTGGTGAAAAAGTTGGCAGATTAACTGAAAAATAGGACAACCAAACAGACTCTTAGTAGATTTATAGACCGTTAATTTTTGGGAAATTGCTCTAAATAGGAGTAAACATGTTTAATAATTTCAAAATAGGACCGTTATAGTTTTCTTCCCAAAATATGAGTCGTTGCTGTCATGATTGCAAAATAATGTTATGATAGAAATACACTACTATTAATGATAGTAAATATTGTTATGTTTAATACATGACACTGTCAACTATTTGACAATAATGACTACAACTCTACAAGATGACAGTAAATACAGTTATGTTACTTCTATTTAAGTGGGTAAATATAGCAATTCTATTTTGAAATTTCAAAACATGTTTAATTCTATTTTGGAAACTTTCCCTTAATTTTTTCTTCTTCATTGCTACCATTTTTTCTTTAAAATGTTAATTTGTTATTATTGTTATATATTCTCACGTCAAAAATGTCATGCACGTCCCACCTAACTAAAAGGTATAGCATTCCTACAGAAGAGCTTTTGTTAAGGATGTTTTCAATCAATAATCATCTTTTTAGTCAATGATAGGAGCAATCTTATTGGTTATTTTAAGCTATTTTGAAGTATAATGAAAATTGTTTACAAAAATGTGACTAGTGACTAGTGACTAGAGCAATAATGAAATCATAGTAACTTATATTCAATTTTTAAACTCAACTTAGCAATTGTAATAACTATTAGTCATATTTGTGTAAATAAATTTTATTTTAGTAATATTTTATAAAAAGCCCGACTGAATAAGTTATTTATGTTTTTTAATGGTAAAAAACTCAAATTAAATAAAGGATTAATTAAATAAATTATTTATATTGAGTTGGTAGAATGTAAAACGTATGAATAGTGAATACATGAATTTCATGATCGAACGAACAATTCTCTGAAAGGATGTAAATTGAGTTTTGATTTAATGGAAAGAGATAAAGTTCACCCTTTGTGTACGCTTTACTGTTGCAACAAATGAAAGGTGGAGATCACTGCAGATTATTACTACCGGATTTTAATTTCCAGGCTATACCGACCTTTGCAATGAACGTCTTTTTGCCACCCATTGATTTATGTAAGGAGATCAAGGTTATCATGAATGATTTTTGGTGGAAAGGAAAAGCAGGGACGGGTATTTGTTGGAAGGATTGGACCTCGATAAGCAAACCGAAAGGATGTGGCGGCCTGGGTTTCAGGAGACTTCGGGAGTTTAATTTAGCCATGTTGGCTAAACCAGCTTGGCGTCTTTTTCAACTATCTCGATTCTCTTGTTGGTAAAGTTTACAAAGCCCGTTGTTTTCCCAAGGGTGACTTCTTGTCGGCTAAAGTTGGAAATAATCCTTCTTTTATTTGGAGGAGTTTAATCCAGACACAAGATGTTATTTGGGAGGGTTTCAAATGGCGAGTTGGAGACGGGATGTCAAATAATATTTGGAAAGACCCGTGGTTACCGGACCGGGAAAATCCTATGGTTACGACGGAGCAGGTAGCAGGCCTTGAACAAGCTAATGTGGCATCGTTACTTGATGTTTCTGGCGAAGCTTGGGACTATGAGTTACTCATGGATATTTTTTACAGCCGTGATGTCTCATCAATTCAGAACATTCCTATCAGTACAAGACAGGTTCCAGATATTCGACAATGGAGATGGGAGGAGAATGGCCATTTCTCAGTTCAGAGTTGTTATAGGAAAATGGTTAGGGAGTTTAATTCCCCTGACTGGACGGGTTGGACTTCAATGTGGTCTTGGAAACTTCCTCCTAAACTTAAAATCATTTTTTGGCAGGTGTGTAATGGATGCTTACCCACGAAAGATATCCTTAGAGCGAGACGAGTAAACTGCCCAGCAAGTTGCGGATTGTGTGGCAGCGAGGAAGAATGTATCCTCCACATTTTCCGGACTTGTTCGGTTGCAAAGGAGGCTTGGGCGGCTGTCCCTTGGAGCTGGTCTCGCGATGTTGCAGGCAGTTTCATGGAGCTGGTGCACAAGGATTTTGAAGCAAGACGAAGGGAGGAGCTCGAAAAACTAATTTGGGGTTGTTGGGCATTATGGTGTGAACGTAACCAAAGTATTTGGCAGAATTCTTTTTTGAGTGCAGGTCATTTATGATGAAAAAGCTCAATCCTTTGTCCTGGGATGGTCTCAAGCTCAAACTGAACGCCGAGGAAGAAAGCAGCAATCACCAGCTAGTTTATTCATGGAGCAAACCTGCAGTGGGGCGGCGTAAGATGAATACAGATGTTGTGGTACGAGCAGATGGATGTGCGCTCGGCTGGTGCCTTCGTGATGAGGCTGGAGCTTTCTTGGCCGGGGTAGCGATACCTTGGAAGTGGCGACTCTCTTCACTAGAAGCGGAATTAATTACCATCAGGGAGGCTCTTAGTTGGCTCCAGGGGACGGATTGGAATGTGGTGGACGTTGAATCGGATGCATGCCACGCTATTTTGGAAATTTAGAAGGGATCCAGCTATTCCTCGTGTGGTTTGATTGCTGGCGACATAAGGGAAATAGCGAATACTTTTTCTAGTATTTCTTTCTCTCATATTAGGCGGTCAGCGAACAAGACAACTCATATGATTGCTAGAGCTGCCTGTTGTTTGTCTGATTCGCGGTCTTGGTTATTTGACTACCCCGATTTTCTATCTTCTGTACTGCTTAATTAATGAAAGCTAGACATCTTCTTTGAAAAAAAAACAGTTTACTATAGGTGTGGCTTGTGAAGGGTAAGAATGAAGAAATTAAATCTATCCCAAAATTTTGATTTTCGGGAGTCGGGACCAAGTTGTAGGTTGATATTATAACCGAACTAAGAAAATTCATTGACAAGAACGCCAATCACTAAAGTTCAAAACTGTCATCCGACTATTCACCATGGCAAAGGTAAAACTGTGTGCACAACATAGTTTGCGGCCACTATATGCAGTCTCTCATTACTCATGCTCATGAGCATTACAACAAATGAACTTCACGTGCTAAAGAATAACCAGGCAGGCTCTCCACACCTGGGGTTACTATGTAGTTCTTGAAGATTAATAGAGAATCAAGAGATGACATGATAAAAGTTTCAGAATCACATTGACTGAGATATGGGGTTCTTGGAATGTGAGACAATGGCACCCCCCTCTAACTCTTCTTCCATAAGCAGCCTAGAAGTAGGTGTGAACTTCATGTCCAGTGAGTGTTCAACTTCTTACAGTTCCAATCGTCTTACATAAAAATAATTTCTGGCTGCATCTATGGTCCTACCAATAAATTCTAGTCTTGACATGAACTCCTTCATGCTGCATATGAAGTCCAAATGCCCTCTTGCCTAAAGAGGAAGAAAGATTTTGAGCTAAAGATATCAATCCTAAGCAATAGGCATAAGGATATCAAACAAATGAATAAGCACCAGTTTCCCATAAACAAATGGAAAACGGAAACAAATGAGTAAAATTAAGCCCCCTTGTTTGGTTAGGGGAATTTTGAGATCCAGGAGGGAAAAGTTAGTCTGGATGTTATTAACTTATTACTGATGTTATCATATGCGAGCCATGAACCACATTAACTAAAATGTAACTGAATTGGTAGCAAAAAGAACAATTACTTATGAAACTCAAAAGGAAAAGTTAGCATGGATGTAATCACTCACCTGTCTATAGTCAGGGACTCGTTTTGGAAGCTTGAGGTAAGCCATGTTATGTATTGCATAATCCCACAGAAAAGATGTATGATGAATCCACCTATTTTTTGTGATCGACTGTGCATTTCCACCAAACTTGTGGCTGCCAAATACATAATCTGAAGAACCGAATGAAATGATATAAGTGCAGCTGTTTTATGTAAATGGATTGACTTGAGTGAAAAAAATATCTGACAGAACATAACTATTGCGTAATATTCCCTCCGCCCCACTAGACTTTGCAAAATGTTGCTTATTTGATTGTCCCAAAAACTTTGTCACACTCTTTTTAATGTAATTAATTTGTTGCTAATATTATTTCTTTCTCCTTTAGTCCTTTAAACAAACCTTGATTACATTGCTTTAACTTTCTTATTCCATGTGCCAGTCAATGTTGGCCAAAATTTAAGGGATAGATGGAGTCTTTTAAAGAAAATGCCTATGTGGGACTACACAGTTTTTTTATATTGACCAATGTGGTGATGCATGTATCATATACTTGATGAGTGTTTTCTCGCACTTAAAATAAATCGTAATATAGTGGTGTAAGTACGAGTATCGTCTCCACAGGGACGGACAAAAGGGAATCAAGAATTAATTAAATTCAGCGATTAAAAAGAAAATAAAATAAAAAGCGTCGTGCGAGATTGGTTGGTTTGGAAAATAAAACTAATGCGAACAATTAAACTAGGGGGTTCTTTCTAATTAATGACGAAGGGAACAGGGATCGATTCCGGGGTAACCAGATTTCTGGCAGATCAGGCCTAATTCCATGAAATTAATTTAATTGAGCCTAGCTAATCATTACTAAGTTCTTACCGCTCTCGCGGCGTAGAGTACAATAATTTAGGGGACCAGGCTGATCTCTCATGCGACAGGATCCTAAATTATTGCCAAGACGAGCGAGCTTACGGCCCCTTAATCGCTACTAATCTCTTAGCGAACGATTAAGTGTGTGTGAATGTGTCCTAGAACAAATTAGATCTCTCTTAATTTATTCTACATGCAATTGTAATTCTAGTCGCGATTCTAGGTTACAAAAGATATCAATTAAATTATTCAAACACAAATTAAACGGCATTCATGCAATTAAACCGAAAAGAATCTAGCCATACATCATGATTAACCCCTTCATCAATCCCAAATCCCTAATTAAAACTACTCACAATTCATAATTGAAGAATAAATAGAATTGGAATAAAAAGAATTAATTGTCATTAATTAAAAAGATGGAACTTACAAAGAATACCAAAAGATTGATGAACAAGGCTGAAAAACTCTCTAAAATTCGTGCTAGGCACTCTCTCTAAGCTCCCCCCTTGAAAACGGGGGTTTACAGGCTGTTTAAATAAAAAAATCGGGTGAAATTTGAGCTGAATTAGGATTTTCGGAGCCAGGCACGATGCCAGGCACGATCGTGCCTTCGATCGTGCCTCCGGAGCAAAAACACGCAGTTTGGGCAGGCACGATCGTGCCTCCCTCCAGGCACGATCGTGTCTGGCTGGCAGTAGCTCCGCGGTGCTTTTCTCTTCAGGCACGATCGTGTCTGACTTTGAGGGCACGATCGTGCCTACTTAACTTCCGAATTTGACAAAACTTCCTTCATGAAAGTTGTAGATAATGAAGTTCTCTATCCACCCCAATTTGCCGAATGTGATTTGAATCATCCAATCAAGAGATATGATCAAAACGGTGGAAGGTGTCTTTCTGAAATCGCAGCAGAGATCATCTGACTTCATCGTCTGTTTTCACCTTCTTCCTCTCAGATTCTCGCAAAGGTGTCTTCATATGATTTGTAGCCCTTGAAGTTGGCTTTCATATGGAACTTGAATCGTGTACATTGGATGTTTATACAAAGATATATGCTTGAACGATTGACAGAAGGTCATCTTGATCGTCGTTTTCAAGCTTCATTCATCTTCTTTTGACCCCGTAGCCAATCCTAGAGCTCTTTTTCCTTCAAATCTTCATCGTGAATCTTCCGGTGACCTCCAAAGCTATCAAATCATTCTCAAATGCTTCTCAAATCATCCTGATTGTTCCTCAAGTGCCGGTACCCGGGCTCAAATTCCCTGATTTTGACTACAAACAACACAAAACTCGAACCAACGCCCGGTAAACATAACTTGAGATAAAATTGAGACTTGTAACACCTTAAAGCTAGGAAAACCATCAAAAGCCGATCTCAACACGCATCAAATGCGTGTCTAAATAAGGACTTATCAATACTCCATCTTTCCCAACATAAAGTTTGTGGTCTGACTTGGCACGGCTATATAAAGAGCAGTTAATTGTATGGTTTGATTTATTAGAGGTTAGATAAAAAGTATGAATCACAGAGTTCATAACTTAAAAGGAAACATGAACCTAATTTTGGGACGATTAGGGAGTCTTGGTGCACCGGTTAGGGTGTTGCCGTGTGACCGATAGGTCATAGGTTAAAGTCTAGGAAGCAGCCTGTTGTAAAACATTTGACAGGGGAATGCTTGCCCCTTATACACTGTTGTGGTGGGACCTTCCCCGGACCATCCCCTTGTAGAGATGACTTTGATCGGTTTGAACTTGCAAGTATACAAGTGCCGATATAGTAATAAAATACCGGTAAATACCGGGTCGATCCACAGGGAAATGGTTGATATTATAAAGTCGAATATTGAATGGAAAGAATATAAATGATATATTTTTTCAGGAACTTTGTTCTTTGATGTTGATTTAAACAAGAATAAGAATTACTAAGGCAATCGGGATTCACCTAAATGCTTTAATAGTTATTTAATAATAGTTCTTCCCAAATAATTATGAATACGATGTCGCTAATATATTCTCAACTCCGGTTAAGGCAGCGAGAGCGTGGTTTTCGTTACGTGTAAATCCCGTTACGGCTTACATTCATCTACCGAAAACCCCGTTGAATATCAAGACATCACACCCGTATCATATAAGACCGGATATATTTCTATTCTCGGTACTATATATGTTTATCCTTTAATGTTCATAGTTTAGACTTCAACATTAATTGCAAGCATAAACTAAATTTAACATACTTCTATGTTGTACACCATAGTCATAAACAATCAAAATGTAAAGGATAAATCACAATTTATTGGTTTAGAACTTTTATCAAACACCTAGTGTGCATAGAGGTTCATCTCTAGCCTTAGCTAAGAAATTAGCCTCTAATGCTCATATTAATCAACAAACAATATTGAAATGTAATGGAACATGAAATTACAAAGGAAATAATACCTAAACACCAATGGTTTCGGAGGTTGAAGTTTCCTCCTCAAGAACTTGAAGAACAATAGTAAGAACAAATTATAAAAACTAGGAATTAAAATATGGAATGGAATGTTTATGTTTGATGAATTGAGGGCTTTATATAGGCTAAAGAATGACATCTTTTAGTCTATTCGAGCCCAACAATCAGGTATGGAGCAATATTTGATCAAGAGATGAGGAAGGTGAAGTTTTCCCATCAAAAATCCTCTTGCACGACCTTTTGTTTGAGCTGAAATCGTCCCAACCGGCCCCGGTCAGTCTAGAACCGGCCCCGGTCGCAAACAGGCTCGTTAAGTGCGAAAAAACCTTCCAACCGGCGCCGGTTATAGGCTGACCGGCGCCGGTTGCAGCGCCCAAAAGTGTCGATTTTTATCCCGGGATTTTGGGGATGCTCCGCTACGAATTTGGACATGATTCCTTCACCAAAGTTGTAGATAATGAAGTCTTCTATCCACCAAAACTTGAATGGCGTGATTTTGTTCATCCAATCAAACGTTATGTCTAAAACACTGAGAGGTATGCATCCTGAAATCCCACCAGCAACATCTGACTTTGTTGGTTGATTGAGTCTTGTTCCTTTCATATTTTGGCCATGACGTCTTCATAACATTTGTTCCTTATTGAGTTAGCATTCACATGAATTTCGAATCGAGTGATTTCGAGTTCTATACAATACGTTATACTCAAATTATGGGCAGAACGTCATCCTCTTGGTCTAAAAAATCGTTCATCACAATGTTTTATGCCTTAGCTCTCATTCTGAAGGTATTTGTCTGATTTCTCTTCTTTTCTTCAACAAATACTTATAAATACTTATGTTAAACACAAGTAAATATAACGTCTATCAGACTTCGTGCACCAGGCCGCCCTTTTTTTAAGAATAGGATAACACAATTTTTTTTTTATGGAGCGAGAACAATAGATAGTATTATACCCACCATTTTCAAGAAGAGCAAACTCTCGTATTCCTTGAAACACGTCTCCATACAATAAGCTGCTCCAGCTCATGATAGGTTGGGGGTAAGGTTTCACTCCGGGAACAGCATCCTTATTGCATATGAAGGTAGCAAATATAGTCCCATGATCAACAATTACAGTGCCTCCACCAGTGAACCTTTTGATGACTGGAACCTTATCTTGTAAAACAGAATTAACTTCAATAAGTTCATTAGGCTTCCTGTCAAAAACGTTTATTTATCATCTTAGAAGCAGTTGTACAGTTGTTCATTAACTTCTTGTACAGTTGTACTGTTTTGAAACCAGTCAAACTTAGAAGCATATCCTTTGATCTAAACCAAGTAAAACAGTCGACCGGCAGCAGACTAAAGTAACTCATAGAGCATGATCCATACATAGCATTTGAGAGCAATAATTTGAAGGATACAAATTTATACTCGTAGAAATGCATTGATTCCAATGACAGTGATGATATATATAATCAGGACTAAAGAGGAATAACTTCACAAATCCAAGCCTACATTAATTCTTGGATCAAAACCAAACTAAGATTGTGTGGTGCAATATGGATTTTTTTAGACATCCACACCTGCAGTAACTAAATGAACATCTGAAAGGCACTTACAAAAACAGTCCCTTTATTCCTTCTCACACATGTAGCCATTTTTATTCTTACAACTCTATTTTCAGTTGCTTAGTTCTTTTCAGATTCTTACTTTCATGTTCAGGAGACGATAGTATGTAAACTAACCTAACATGAATTCACACCAATTCCTCACATTGACTCAATATTACCAATGAGCTAGCATCTACATAGAACAACACAAGGCAGTATATGGGATTCCCCCAGTATCTCCCCCGATAGAGATAGACCCCCATTTCACCTAGATAAATGACCGGAACCGTCCAAATTTTGGAACGTGTAGTGACAAGGACAGACTATTGGGGAGATTTTATTTTAATACTAATCCTTAGTATGGTTGGCTTGGTTGGACTCAAAAAGTGAAGTATTCAGGCCCCGTTTAAGAAAAAGAACAGTAAGATATCAACGATTTTCAATTGTACCAAAACTGATTCCTATACTTTAAAAAAGTAAATTATATACACTCTTCTTTGCATAATATATTCAGAGAAATACACTCTTCTTGTGAGGCGAGAATAAAATTTCTAACCAGCTTACCCAGAAACACCCATAACTACAGTGGGTTGATCTGTCCTATCATTAATAATACACCAATTGTCAGATGAAGTCCTTAACAACCGTTCCTCTAAACACAATTGTTCCAAAATGGGTACACCTTGTAGCCTCACAAGATTCATCAATGGAAGCTGACGGATTGTGTTTTGAAATAGAGCCATAGTAAAATTGGGGTACCGCTTGGTTTAGAGCTAAGCTAAATTCGGCCTTTCCCTTGAATTTCTCCAAAACAGCCTAAAACTTCTAGAGTAGTGGCATGCCCTTTGTTCTTGCAACTTTAAGGCGAGCTTTGAGGAATCCAAAACCGGTCATGTTGACTTGAAAGCCTAGGAGCAGGTAATATATAATGAGCTTAATTTAAAAAACAAAACTTTTTATGTAAACTAACATGCACAAATAATAATATTTCAAGACTTTTATACTCATTAAATTAAACAACGTAGAATCACCGTGACAAATAAAAATGAAGAAAATAATGAAAAATTACTTAATATACATTGCTTGCTGAGTATTGCGAAATAAAATCATCAACAATACCTTCATACTCAAGCTTTTCTAACACATTATAATTCAAAATTTTTACCAAACAAATTAACACTAATAAAAATCCAGATTTAATTACATAACAGAAAAGTGAACTGACCATTTAACATTCAAGAACTGAGGAACTATGAAATAATCACTTAAAATATAGGCTGAACCGCAACATCAACAAATCAACTAACTCAGTATTCAACAAATCAATTAATTAAGAAATCAACTAACAACTAAGGCTGAAAGCAGAACAAATAAACATAAATCAATCAACAATTATGAATATGATATTATGATTATATGAACTAATC